AAATGTTTGATAACAGAACTGCGTAGAACTTCTTCATTTGGGACAGGTTTCTCTTTTTCTTTTCTCTTTGTACGTTTTTTATCAAACACCTCACAAAAACTTTTAGAATAAATTCTTTGAAACTCTCGTCGGCTTGGTCCGTTAAACTTATGCCTTACTTTACTATACTCTTTTTCAGTAAACTTATTGTGTCCAAAATGTTTGATAACAGATTCACGAAGTTCTTCTTCGGTGGACCAAGTCTTATTCAATTCAAACTTTTCTCTTCCAAAGACTTCATTAAAAGATTTAGAGTAGTACAATGAAAATGCAAATGAGCTAGGACCTTTAAACAACCTTCTTACTTCATCATACTCTTTTCCAGTAAACTTATTGTGTCCAAAATGTTTGATAACAGATTCACGAAGTTCTTCTTCGGTGGACCAAACTTGATTAATCTCTCTTTTTTTTCTTCCAAAGACTTCATTAAAAGATTTAGAGTAGTAAATTCGAAAATCAGTTGAACTAGGTCCTTTAAACAAGTTTTTTACCTTGTCATACTCTTTTCCAAAAAATTTATTATGCCCAAAATGAGCTGTAACATTCTCACGAAGCTCCTCCTCACTTGGCCAAACACCACGCATACCAGTTCGCTCCTCTATTGCTCTGAAAATTTTCACAACCTCTAATTCCTCAGTAGAGAAACTAATGTCGAAATTCTCTCCAGATACCGTAAGAGGATTCTTTTGTAATTCTAAACCTAGTTCAATCTTACGATCAAGAATAACCCTGTTGATATCATGGAGCATTACAATACGTTCTGCATTAGCTACAAAGTCCATAATGAGTGCTATCTTGCCTGGTATTTTACGAAGAGGTCTACCTAACTGTTGTAAAAATACACGTTTAGAGTTAGTGCAACGTAGGAATACCCCTACTTCGACATTAGGAACATCAATATCTTCATTTAGTTTATCAATTGATATGAGATACTGAGTTTTGTTCTCTCTGAAGAGTTTCATCATGCTTTGATTATGTTTACGACTTTTCTCATTATGAACTACACCAACAGATTTGTTATCTACTTTCATGTTTTCATAAGTACGATTAGCGTGCTTAACACCTTCACAATAGATGAGGGTTTGTTTACCAACAGAGTTTGTATAAATCTCAGATAGTACTTCATCATCATAACTATCGATGAAGAGTGTTTCATTGAGTTGTTTCATACTAACTGCCTTACCTTCCTCTATGACATCACGGAACATTTCCTTGAGCTTTTTCTTACTCAAGTTAGATGAAAATACACGGTATTGTACCGGAGAGATACGTCCAAGTATCATGGCATCTTCAAAAGGAAGGTCGTAGATAACTTGGTCAAATATCTCCAGAATGTCTCTACCGTCTTCTCGGTCAGGTGTAGCAGTCATGCCAATCTTTGAACAATTGAAGTAATCAATTACTTCTCGAAAGGTTAGTGCTTGTCCGTGGTGTGCCTCATTAACAATGATAAATTGAAAATGGTTTTGGTCGAAATACTTGTACCATTTTTCATGATGATTATTCAGGCTCTGATATGATGCAAATACAATATCTGCGTGATCAGGTTCTTGTCTATTGCCACCGAAAAAGTCAGCACATAATATGTTATGACCATAGCTTGCAAAAATTGCTTGAAATTTACTTCGTGCTTGATCCAGGCCTTCATTCTCGTTATAGAGATACAGGCCCTTCATGTTATGAGCAGTAATACATTTCATTGCGATAAAGGCAGCTTCGGTACTTTTACCTGTACTGGTAGGTTGATATATTGCGCCGTTTTCACCACGCAAGATACAGTCGATACTGTTGTTGATAGGCTCTTGTTGCCAATCATACGGGGTGATTTTTTGTGCTCTATTCATTTCTATATTGTTTATGTTTATTTAATTGGAAAGGTTATAGGATAGTCCTATTTGGTTTATATTATACAGATATAAGTATAAATGTCAAGTATTTTCTACCGCCAGTCTATCTCTCCCAGTCCATGTTCACGCAGATAGGTATTAGCTTGGGAGAATGGCTGAGAGCCAAAGAATCCGCTATGTGCCGAGAACGGACTTGGGTGTACTGACTCGATAACCAGATGCTTGGTACGGTCGATATGTGCACCCTTGGCGCGAGCATAATTGCCCCACAGGATAAACACAATATGTTCTCGCTCATCTGAGAGTTTTGTAATCACCTCATCAGTAAACTCTTCCCAGCCCAGTCCTGCATGTGATGCAGGACGACCCGCACATACGGTCAGCGTACTGTTGAGCAGGAGTACTCCCTGACGCGCCCACCTGGACAGGTCTCCGTCGGCTAATGGCTCAATCCCCAGATCGCTGCGAATTTCCTTAAAAATATTTTGCAGTGATGGTGGGATTTTCATGCCGGATTGCACCGCAAACGACAGACCATTGGCCTGCCCTGCTCCATGATACGGATCCTGCCCCAGTATCACCACGCGCACCTGACTAAACGAACACAGATCAAAAGCACGAAATACATCTGCCTGTGCTGGGTATACAGTATCGGTCGTATAGTATTGGTGAATTTTATCTGAGAGGTTTCGGAAACTCTGCGAGGTAATAGCGTCAGCTAATACCTGTTTCCATGATGGTTCGATTATATCGTGCATAGAGAGAATTATAACATAGAAACTTTCATACCACCCACCGCTTCGCGGAGCCCTCCTAAACAGGAGGGCATATCCCCTCCTGTTTAGGAGGGGTGGTATAAAAGAACAAAACATTATGCCACTACACACACAAATAAAAGAATCTATCAAAGACGCCATGAAGGCAAAAGACACCGTGAGACTCACCGTAGTACGCGGACTCACTACAGCGTTTATGAATGAACTCGTTGCAACTAAACGTACTCCAACAGATGTATTATCTGATGAGGAGGTACTTGCGGTAATTACCCGTGAAGCAAAACGTCGCAAGGATTCTATCGAGCAATTTACCGCAGCTGACAGAGGAGATCTGGCAGTAGATGAACAAGCAGAGCTGGTAATATTAGAAGAATACCTCCCAACACTCATGAGTATCGATGAGATTAAAGCTTTTGTAACTCCAAAAATTGCCGAAGCAGGGGAGATTGATAAAACAAAAATAGGTCAGTTTATAGGAGGTATCATGAAAGACCTCAAAGGACGTGCAGATGGTGCTGAGGTTAAATCGGTAGTAGAAGAATTATTAAAATAATACCAGACTTACAAAAATAGCGAACTTCTTTGTTGAAACTGCAAATTTACTCGTCAATGTATCTACAATACATCTTCTCGCAAATTCTTGTTTCGCCTCGAATTTCATCTATTTGTATAAGTCTTACTTAAATGTATGATTAAATTAATTATTAAATGGATAGTTATTGCCGTAGGGTTTATCCTGGTATCACAACTCGTTCCAGGTATTACTGTTGCAACGTTTACTGATGCCATGATTGCCGCACTCGTATTTAGTGTGATCAACATGTTTATCAAACCAGTCCTTAAAATACTTGCTTTTCCGATTAACTTGGTAACCTTGGGATTGTTTGGATTTATTATCAATGCATTTCTATTTTGGCTTGTAGGATATTTAGTGCCAGGATTCGAAGTGTTCACTATTGCTGCAGCAATGATCGGATCATTTATACTCTCAGTAATCCTCTGGATTGCAGGAATGTTTCTGGATTAACCAATTAAAAAACACAACATAAAAACCATTGTGCGAACACAATGGTTTTTATGTTAATTTGACCACAAAACCCTAAACAAAGGATTATGAAATTAAAGAATTCCTCGCGGTCCTAACTAATATATCATAATGAGTTTTAAAGTCACTCTTTCGGCGAAAGTTTTTCTATGGTATTTCGTAGTGTCTCGATGTGATGAGCGATACCATGCGTTGGATTTTTCTTTTGTGCTTCGCGAAGTTTTTTAAGTCGTTCCATGAGCATGTCAATCTCATACACGACATAGTCATTTCCTCCTCGTGTATCAAAAATCTCACTGGTGTCGTATTTACGAATAATTCCTAAAATAAGTTTTTCTACTTCGGTGATACTTTCGGATGCGTCATCAGTGGGGTTTTCATGTTGTGACTTTTCGAGGAGTTTGAGATAGTTGATGAGACTTTTTAATTCTGCAGAGGGTTCGACTTTTTTATCGGTTTCAATACTGATTGGTTCTTTGTCAGGTTTTTCTTGATTATTTGTTTTTTTATTATCTTTTTCTAAACCCTCATGATTACTTTTTTCATCGCCTGCTTGGATGAGGATTGCATCTGACAGATCCACCACAGTCTCTACTTCTTCGATACTGGTAACACCAGTAATGATTTTAATCACCGCGTCTTCTGCCATGGTAAATATTCCTTGACTTGCTGCAGCGCGACGAATATCACGCTCTGATGGGTTTTTATTAATAGCGTCAATCACGGCATCATCAATACGTATTGCTTCGAACAATCCTGTTTGACCTTTAAATCCTGTATTGTTACATCGTGGACATCCTGGTCCTGCAGTGTACAGCTCCAAGTCTGACTCTGGTGTGATGTTATACAGATGAAGAGGTTTTTTGTTTTTCTGTGCATCGGTGAGGATATCACGGAGGAGTTTTTCTTGTGTCTCGGTTATGGTTGCCTTGCGGCGACAGCTGGTACAGAGTTTACGCACCAGACGCTGCGCCATACACAGTGTGAGTGCATCAGGGAGGATACGAGGACTCACACCCAGCTCAATCATACGCGGGATAGCTCCTGCGGCGTTGTTGGTGTGGAGCGTTGAGAGTACGAGGTGTCCGGTGAGCGATGCATTGACTGCAGTGGTTGCTGTTTCCTTGTCACGGATTTCTCCGACCATCACCACATCAGGGTCTTGGCGCAGTGCTGCACGGAGTCCCTCGGCAAACCCGTAACCCTTTTCATGATCGATCTGTGTTTGGGTTATACCATCCAGGTGATACTCGATAGGGTCTTCGATGGTGAGGAGTTTTATCTCGGGAGAGTAAATAGTTTTTAATATTGAGTAGAGTGTCGTGGTTTTACCAGATCCTGTTGGTCCTGTGTTGAGGATCATACCGTTCGGTTTACGGATTTCATGTCCCAATATTTCAAATAAGTTTTTATCAAAACCAAGCTTTTCCATATCTACCGTGAGCCCCTCAGGATTGAGGATACGCATTACGATGGATTCACCATATGGCCCTGGGATGAGCGAGGTACGTATCTCGATTTCGATTTCTTTATAATTGATCGTAAAACGTCCATCCTGAGCAATAGCACTGCTACTGATTTTCATCTCAGAGAGGAGTTTTATACGAGAGTTAAGTTGTTTATATATTTCAAGAGGGAAGTCGATGATATCCTGGAGTACTCCATCCTGACGATAACGCAAACGCCCATGATCCTCGGCTGCTTCGATGTGTACGTCTGAGGACTTGGTACCGATAGCTGTACCAAATATAACCTCCATGAGCTTTGATACCAGGTGAGGTTCTTTTGCTTGTAATAATTCATTAATTTTAGCAGTGATCTCTGCATTACTGTGAACAGACTTTGCCAGGTTCTCCAGTGCTGATGATGAAATATCCAGCAGTCCCTGATGAGCAAAGTTCGCACCAGAGATATCTGCATAACGATCAAGTGCTTTATTAATACTTGCCATACTCGCAAGGAATATTTTTGTCATGTAACCTTTTTCTTCTAATGTGTTGAGTATTGCAATAGTTTTTTCATCATAGGGAGATTTAACCGCGATGGAAATGTTTTTACCAACCATAGCAAAAACAACCGCCAGTGCCGCTCGGGCATCGGTTTCATCGACGAGTTTCAGTGCATCCATGTTAATACCCATACCTACCAGGTTTACATACGGCAGGCCTGTATCGTCTGCCTGTTTCTTGGTAGATTCTTCTTCTTGGATAGCACGTACTTCCTGGAGTCGTTTATTTTGTTCTTCGTCATTAAAAGTTACCATTGCACTATAGTATAGCATGTAAATTAAAATAAAAAACCTCCTTTTATAGAGATTCCTTATTTTAACTTCTTGAGGTAACTTGCCAAGTCTGCAATTTTCACTGTGTCTTGGTGACGGGTTTCCATGTTTTTAACGATTACGGTATTATCCAGTGCTTCACGCGCTCCCAGGATGAATACGTATTTTACGCCCATTTTCTCAGCACGAGCTAATTGCTCACCGAGTTTATCCTTTGCGATGGTCTGAGCAACAGGGAACTTTGCAGTTCGCATGATTTCCAGTACATTGAGTGCTTTCAATTTTGCCTCGATACCAAACTGGATAAAGTACCCAACAGGTTCATCGATGATGCGAGGTTTAAGTCCATTCCACCATGATGATTCTATAACACGATCAGCTCCAATGCCTACACCCATAGCAGGGATGTCCTTCTTGCT